CACCACTGCCTGCTTCCAAGGCAGGCGCTTATGCCGCTGAGCTAAATCCCCAGCCCCTATTCCTACTTCTTGTCCTTGTGATATCTTGTCTTCTGGGTAAGCTGCTTCCTGGCAGAAAAACGACCACAATGTAGGGAAGGCATACAAATCAGAGAGGCCCAGAACCTGAGAAGGACTGCCAGACCCTACACTGGCATTGTCCCCAAGAAATACAGCTATTCCCTCCCTGAGTTTCTAGAACAGAGACAACAGTGGCACGGTCATGTTTACAGTCCCAGGTCAGACACTCAAAAATACACATCTGTGGGAGGGGAGTGGTAGATAACAAAGATTGCACTGACACCAAGGTGGGGACCCTCCTCCTAATCTGTGAATACTGGACATGACTCAGAGATGAGTCATGTCCTAGGAGAGCCTGTCATGTCTGTTAGCCTTTTATCACTAATTCACCCTAATGCCCTAGTTTGGGAAGGGAGGGGTGATTTTAATAGACTTCCATTTAAAAGGCTCAAAATCATATAATTCATTCTATTTCTCTTCAGTTATAATTACTACTCGCTCCAGCTCTCCAACCTGACACCTAGAAGTCATCTGTCACCAGTGGACAGGGCTTCACTTAATAAATAACGTATGTGCACACACTAATTAATTTTTAAAACATATTTCCCTCAGCTCTCAGGAGAACTCCAGGATAGGAGGGCACATGGAACCAGTGGTTGTCTGTGAAATGTTCTATAACATGTCAGCTCCAGAGTTAAAGACACTGGGATTGACATACCAGCGTTAGCATTAACCAGCTGAGTGACCGTAAACAAGTGCCTTCAGCTCTCTGAGTCCTTTGCTTCACATGAAATGAAGTCAACTGTCCTGTGCTCAAGATTAGCGTGAAGGTTTACAGAAACAATCTAAGCAAAAAGTTAAGCCAGGTCCTCTGCACAGAATATGCACCCATTAATAGAAATTGTACTATCATTCAGAGAATAACTGGAGAGGGAAAAAACCTTTCACTGTGTCCAGCAGAGGCATAATGCTTCCTTGCTCCTCCCTGTATGACTAATGCTTGGAGACACAAGTTCTGCCTGAATAGTACTCCCTCATTGCCACAGTCTTTTCTATCATATTCCTTGAATAAAGAACATGGAAAGTGGGTCTTTCATCAGGAGTCTGCCTGGTGATGCTCACACAGCAGCAGTTAGGAAGAAGAGAGGAAAACTCCTAAACATATGTCTAAAGCTTCCCAGGAGCTTCCCGGGATTCCTTTCACAGGTCTGTCCCCACTTTTCATCCCACCTATGAATTGGGCTAATAATGCTCCCAGGATGTGAAGCTATTGAATACACTGAGTCAAGCACGGCACTGCTGAGTTTTAGGTTAGACTTGAGAGAACTAGTGGAGAAAGACTTTGAAGAGCTCACCTAAAGCCATGATGTAAACCAGAAGCAAGCTGCCGGAAGCATAAAGAACTCCCAGGTCAAAAAAAAAACCAGAAAATAATAAAACATGACCAGTGAAAGGCCAAGAGCTTTCACATTCAAATACATCAAATCAGTCCTCAAACTTCAGGATAGGTAAGAATTCTCCAAGGAACACTCAGAAAATGCAGGCTCTGGGTCTTCCTGATGTGAATGAGAAGCCCAGGAATTTGCATGAGACAAGCACCTACGTTATTACTGTGCAAGTGGTCAGATACTGGCAGCCTTCCCCACAAAATCCTATTCAGCTGCTTTGTTTGTAAGACAACTGTGGCAAGAAACTGAAAGGAAAGAAACACAACTTTAATTTTTTAATTTGGAAATTTGCAAGATAATAAGAGATTGGTTACTTGCCGGAAAACATAGTGTTCATGCACACAGGATAGATTAGGTAAAAAAAAAAAAATTACATTCAGATAATTTAATATTTCTGAAATGGAATAAACTCAATGGTTGAGTGAAAGGCAAGAAGCAAGCTATCTATCACCTGAAGTTAGCAGCTAAGATAGTATTTCAACCACTCATCATGAAAGAGAAGTTTGGACCAACTACACACCCAGATGAGGTATTCAAGAGCTTATTTCAGAAAGGCTTAAATGCAATCACATCTGGAAAATGGCTATTTCTAACTCTAGACAAACCCAGAAAAAGGTGTTGGGGTCAAGGTGACCTAATAATTTTTGTAAATAACTCTAAAGATGGAGTGGGAATTATGCAAATCAAGCCACAGATGATACAAAAATGGCAGCGATTACAAATCTGTACAAGAATGAAATTTAACTACTGGGCAATGTCTTTAAATTTGCCTTTATTGAATCTTGTATATTGAAGTCACACATTATTGTACATGTTTATTGAGTCTCAATAGGGTCAAATGCAGAGTGATTTGTGGAAAGAGGGATAATCAAATGCACATGAGAGTGGAAAAGAGCAAACACCTGGAGAGACCTGGCATGGATGGGGTGCAGCAGGCACGCAGCAGCCAAGTGGGTTGTGCTAAGAGCTGGCGTGCAAATAAACAGGGAAATGTGTCTGTTGTTCTTTGAGCCATTTGGCCTTGATGCTGCTTCTGGTGGGAGGGCTATGCTTAAACATGGACCCAAAAGGGAATTCAGAGCAGGACAACTTAGAGATTATGGGTTGGGGCCCTAGACCAACTGAAATTCCAAGGTATATCACATAAAACGCTGAATGTGCCTAATAATTGGCCAAAGATGCACAGAAGACAAGGGGAACTTTAGGAAAGAACATTGAACATTTTCAGCTTCTGTGAAGGAGAAACAATCATTCAGAGCACAGCTGGAATCATGGGGAAAGAAAAAAACAGGGCAGCTCATGGTAACACCATCCCTGGGGACAATCGAGAAGGGCGACCAGACACCTCTCTCCTTAGGATGCATTAGAGATTATTAAAAGCATTCCTTGCCCAGTTGAGGAGTGGGAAGGGTGGGGGGGGACTCATGACCTCTCCAAAGGTCATTTCTATCCCAAAGGATCCCATGTCTGAAGGGCACCAGATAAAAATAAAGTCTATTAATCACTGAGCTGCCAGCCACACAGTGTCCTAAGAGAGCCGGAGTAGAGAAGGGCAATCTACAGTGGGCCTCACTCCTCCAAGAGAGAAAGATGGAGGCTACATCTGTGCAGGCAGAGGCAAGAAAGCAGGTGCTGAAGACTTCAGAAAGCCAATGACCGCTTATATATTAGGCCTCCCAGGCACTCCAGGGTACCAGGAAAGTAGAAGATGCCCTGTGGGAGGGGATCAGCAAACAGCCCACAGCACTGAGAGCCCCTAAACTAAGTCAGGAGCTAGGAGGAGAGGGCTTGGTGCAAGCACTCTACTCAGAAGGAGGGCAGCGGGGCAAAAGGATGCTCAGAATTGGCACCTCATGAGGATAACATACAAAGAGGCAGATCTGAGACAAAGGTGGGAAGCGAGGGACTGGGCAGTAGGAAAAGCAAGAGCGACTGGGACCGTGTGGGACTTTAATTGGCTGGAAATACAGTGCAAGTCATAGAGATGATCCTACTACCCATGATAGCAGAAAATCACATACACAAAAAGCTTTCCAAAAGAGGCATAGAGCAGCCATGTCCCAGTTCTGTTCTTGATGGATGGTCTGTTCCAGCCAGACACAGCTGAAAGCCTGTGCTGTGGGGACTGAACGTCCCACCCAGCCCACAACTCAGAACCAGTCTCCCAAGGACTGGCATCCTGGGGCTGTCTCTACATCAGAATCAAATGGAGCCCCATCTAGGAAGCAAGACTCAGGCCAAAGCAAGCAGCTCCTGGCATTGCCCAAAAGCATCTGACCCCATGCCCTGCTCCCTCCTTATCCTGAAGTACAGTTGCCTCGGGGTAGAGATGTTACCTGCAGGAGTTGGCTCAGGAATGTCATCTGCACAGTGTATTAAGCAGCCAAATGGGGGCCGTAGAGTTGGAGTTCTTCTAGCAAAATGTTCTCCAACCAGCTGTCCCCTCACTGGGCACACAATAACGTGTTGAAATCAAAAGGGTCCAGTGAAGAGAGAGGAAAAAAGACATCACCCCCAGCATCCCACTGTGCCCCTCTCTCCTGACTCTCTCCTTGACTTTACAGAGACTGCAGACCCTGGCAGGGTGGATAGGGTGCCAAGAGCAGCCCTGTGCCAGGACCTGCTCAGCTGTTCTGCTGCGTTTTCCTGGCAGCCCCATCTCCCGATGGCAGAGCCCCATGAGAAGAGAAGACAGGAAGGGAAGACCATCAGGAGTAGATTTTGAGGGTCGCCCCTGCCATGGAATGAGCTGATACAACCTGATGTAGTAAGAAGTTAACCAGACTAAGAATTTCAAAGCTACAAGCCCAGGCCCTGGTGATAGGGAAAGACAATCGCTGTGTCTCCGGCTGATCACAATCCTGCCTCAAGCTGAGGTTTCTTGAGGTTTGCCTTGGCTATGACTCCCAGCCACTCCTGTCCCTCTGCCCACCCTAGTGCTATCTGCAGACTAACCCAGAAACCAGGCAGTTGCTTGTCCAAAAGATGTCTCTGAAGCAAGAAAGACTAGAGATGGATGGAGGGCCATTTATTAAAGTAAGTCATTGTCATAGAAAGATTCATAACCTGCCCTACCTAGGACAGGAGAGAGAGTGAGAGGAAAGGAAAGGGAAAAAAATGGAAAGCCACAGGAGCCAAGTACCTTTGTTGGTGGATTTTGAGTTATGCTTTTGTTTGTAATTCTCCGAAATAGAGAAAGATATAGAAGATGAATCTTAAAAAGCGACGGGGAGAGTGAAGGAGAGCAAGCCAGAGGAAAGTCAGGAAGGAGACTCTGCCAGACACAGAGCACAGATCCAAGGAGGGGCTCCCTGGCCAGGCTTCCCCCTCATGCCCAGACACCCCTGCAGCAGCGGTAGCAGGAGGAGGGGGTGACCACAATGGAGATGCAGGCAGGCAAGCCAGGGTACAGGCCCCGGAGCTGGTGGGCCAGCTGCCAACACACCACATGGAAGGGTGGGACAGGGACAAGGTGGAGAAGCCCGTACTTACTGTCACAGACGTAAGGCTTGTCGTGGTCTTCCTGAGAGGCAGCGTCATGCCTCCTCCTGCCACCCGCAGAGCCACGAGCCTGGGAAGACATTTGAGTTTGGAGATATTTGTTACAATAATTATCATTACAGATGCTGTGCAAGCACCCTGTGAGGCCCTGTCCATTTCCCCTCCATCTCCACATACCATCTTCATCACAGCCCTTGAACCAATGCCAATCCATTTTACAGATGAGGAAACTGAGGCTCAAAGAGATGGGCAACCTGCCCCAAGTCACTCAGCTACTCAGCGGGATCCTCTCATTAAGTCTTCACAACAACTCCAACAAAGGAAGCAGCGCTATGATCCCCATTTCACAGACTGGGGACTAAGGCAAAAGAAGGTCAAAATCTTACCCAAGGTCATTTTGCTACGAAGGGCAAAGCCAGGAAACAAACTCAGAGCAGTATGACTGAAAACTCGTGTCTAGCCATGCATAGTCATGCATGTCTATAACCCTAACACCCTGGGAGGCCGAGGCAAGACCATCAAAGTTTGAGCCTCACCTGGGCAGCTGAAACACTTAGCAAGACCCTATCTCAAAATTAAAAAGTCTGAGAAAAGCAACTAGGGATGTAGCTCAGTTCCCAGTACTGCAAAAGAAAAAGAATGTATGTGTTTACCGAATTCCCATACACCAAGGCCTCTTCCTTCAACTTTATGCACAGCACAAAGATGCCAATCCTACTCCTGAGGCAGGAAATATAATGGCAATTGTCAGCCAGGTTCCTATGCCAATACTGCCAACCTCCCACATGTTTCAAGAAATAGCCAGGCCTGGCATTTGGAGCCCAGGCATGAGCTCAGGCTTGGGAGAGCATTCCCGGACCCTTCTCTGAGGGATGGTCTGCCTCCAGCCTGCAACTATAAGGTTCCTCATGGTCTCTTGGGCTGGACCCTTGAGCCCCATCCTATACGTATTTCCCAGAAAGAGTCACTGTGGTGTGGGGCAGGGGACGGGTGGTGGTCAATTCTACCTTCAGAAATAAGACACTAGCCAAGAGCCGGCCAGCAGTACTGCAACCCAGGACAGTGGCTCAGTAAGGTTTATTTTTAAACCCTTGTAAATCCCACACCGATCATGTGTGTGCACGCTGGCCTTGTCCAGGTCATTCTTCAATAATGTGTATCAGTCAACTCCCAGGAAAGGAGAGGGCGGGCTGAGGTCTTTGGGAGCAGAGAAGGGGCTCCAGATGAGGTTAAGACGTAGCAGCGCCCTGGGCCAGGGAAAATGGGGCAGAAACAGGGCCTGACCAAAAACATGGGCTCGGGGTCTTCATAATGGAAAGGTATGGGTGCTTCTGCATGTACGTACACACGCACACACACACACACACTCACTCACAAATGCATAGGCCTCAATAGAGACTCCACAGCAGAAAGGGCTGTGTCCCAGGCCTGCAGCACTCACACATCACAAAGCACACACTTCACAATCAAGCCCACCTGCCAAGCTGCCGCCTCTGCCACTGCCTCAGCTCAGCTCTAAAACAAATTACAGAATTCCACCTCCTTCCTCTGGCTGCTCCCTGCTCCCTGCCCCCACCCTGTGCACTGACAGCCAGCAGCCTGCCCCCTCGCCCTCATTACTCTGCATTGACCCCAAGAGGGAGTGTGAGGCACTGGCAGTCACCCTGAGGCTCCGACAGGCCCCATACCCATGAAGCCGAGGGTGGTCACCCTCAGCTGCTCTCAGCTCCTGCTCGCCCCCTCGGAGAAGCTAGGGACAGCCTGATGTGTGCAGCCCGCAGCCCTGTCACTGTTGCCTCTGAGCAGGTGAAGGCAAGTCAGGCAGAATGATGAGGCCACTGCAGACTTGGAAAGGATTCTGTGGGACTAGAAATACCCGCAGGGAGAAGAGGAAGGAGTGTCCTCAGTGGACTGAAGTACTAGGACTGGAGGCTGCGAGAAAGCAGGCAGGGGTGGCTCACTGGCCAGATTTAATTCCCCCACCAAAGGGCAGGCAAGCACGACAGATGCACGATCAGACATGCCCTGTGCCTTGGTTTCCCCAACTGCCGTATAGGATTATGATTATAGGGCTTTTAAGGCAATGGGCAAAGATGCTTCCTGAGGTCTGAATACAACTTGCCCTGTACTACTGTTGCCTCCCCCAAGAAGTCCTCTCTGACCACTGACATCCACTATGCTCTCTCGTCCATTCTTTTTCTTTAACCCTGCTCTGTGTCTCCTCACATCACTTAGCATCTTCTGCCATTACGTTACACATGTGTTACTTTACTTATTGATTTTCTGTCTGCCCCAAGTAAGGTGTAGAGCCATCTCTTTGGATCACAAATATTCTCAGAACCAGGCACAGGACCGGCCAGCCTCATAAACAGCCCTTCAACATTTGCTAAATACAAGAATCAGGCAGGCAGTGAGTTGATCATCTTTCGTCTTCTGCTTCATTCTCTGTATCCAAGTGTTATTGTTTTTTCCTTCCAAGGCCATCACAGGCTTTGCATTTCTTCCCTGTTCCTAACCTAGGACTCCATCAACTGAGCCCTGAAAAGCCCAAAGAACCTGCCAGCTGGGCTTTAAATTCCTACTTCCTCAGCCAATCCATGTGGCAGCACTGTCAGACAACTTAGACAAAGGGGATGAGGGGCAGGACTCTGTGATCATTTGTTCATTCACACATTCTTGCATTGCCACCTAGAACTCATTTACCCAGGCATGGCAGCCTAAAGCTTACTCCATCCGGTTCACCCCAGCCTCCAGGGCGAGCCCTATGTTTGCATTCCTTAAGCTCTGCCACGGCGAGCCTCTCCCCTGCCCATGCACACCCAATCATGCATGAGTCCTGCTAGCATCTCATGCCTCAAAATAATCTTCTGTTGAACACTAAAGAGTAAAAAAGAACATCACTTTCAAGTCAGGCAGACATAGGCTCACATGACAGCTGTGTTCGTCAGTTTTTTTATTCGTATAACAAAACACTTGAGTTGAGCTACTTTATTTTAAAGAGAGAAAGAAAGTAGTTAATTTTGACTCGTGATTCTGGAGGTACAAGGTGTAGGGACCTCCTCTGGTGATGGCCTTCATGCTAGCAGAGTCTCCAAGTAGCAAGAGCATCATTTGGCAAGAACAAAGAGCATACATCTGTATATGTCTTTTCTGATCTCTCCCTCTCATACAGTCACCAGGATTCAATCATGGGGGCTCGATCCTCACTTTCTTATCTAATACTAATCACCTCTCAAAGGCCCAATTTCTAAACACAGAAGGTAGGATTAAGTTCCTACCTTCTCATATTTGACGAAAGGGATTAAATAGTGTTACCCACAAAATGGACCCAGAAACACTTCTAAAGCAGCAATGTTGAGAGTTACAAAAAAGTGGTGTGAAACCACAAGGGACAATGCTGGGTCCACAGGAAGTATTCGACAAATTATTTTTGCTCCTTGTCCACGCTGATCTCTGTCACCTCTGGACGTTTGTTGCATATGGTTAGCACATGCTCAGTGCTTGCTGCGTGCTCATGTTACCATACATTTTAGCATCTTCTCCCCAGTTTAATTCTAACATCCTTGAGGGCAAAGATTTTATACTTTATAACGAATCTCTAACGTTTACCATAGTAATATACAAAGTCTATAAAGCTGTCATATAAATTAGCTCAATTCACTCCTGCAATTACCCTATAAGTTAAACTAATTATATTATTATTCCTATTTGTTTCTTCATGAAATAAATTCTGAGATGAGTCATGATTTACCCAATCATAGAACTAGTAGAAGGAGGAGGACCTAGTTTTTCAAGTTATTTTAGAAACTTTGAAATTGAATTTCCAAAAGAAACTCATTCTCCCTTTCATGAGAACCGCGCATTCCATGTCATGTCTCTCTACCGAAACTCCCATTCACATATACTGGTTGGTTGGCCAAGGCTGCCATTATTGTGCCATATAGCCTTACCATTTTGGCCACAGTTGATTGGCTGACTTGGGAGTAGTCAACTGTTTACAGAAACAATCCAATTTTACCTCCAAGTTTATCCAAACAGATCCTATCTCCAAGGGACTCAGAACTGAGAAAGAGTAAATCTAGTTCAGTACAAGCCACTTGCACTGTGACAATCATAAACTGAAGAGCTAAAGGGGCCATGTGCACAAAAAAGCAAGAAAGTAAGTCACTAGAAAATGAAAGAGGGAAACAGAGAGCCAAAAAGCAGACTAAATTCTTCACTATTCTCTAATCCTAAATCCTGCTACTTTCTTGCCCTTCCTGGGGTTTGAATCTTCAAAGATTGTTCAGATTTGGGGCATGACCCAGCAGCTTTTCAAATCCTTCCCATTTTGCTCAAACCATTGAGTTTCCTGAAACTAAAAGACCCTAAATTAGGGCAGACAGTTTCAAGCCAAGAGCCAGTTCTTCTATACCAGTTGTTCTCAAATGGTGTCCTTAGAATCAACATCCAAACTCCTGTGTAATGTACTTGCTCTTTCATTGTTATTCCCTCACAAGTGTGAGCCTGAATTTTTCTGAATTTACTGTGGGGTACATGATGGTGTTTGCACTGTTTGAGTGCTCTTAATTTTTTTTCTGTCTGAGTTTCTAGTATAGCAAACTATTAGTTAACTGAACAAGAAAATTACTTTGGGTGGTTCTTAGTAATTTTTAAGACTGTAAAGAATTGCTGAGACCAAAATAAATGAGAACCATTGGTCCACACCTTTGCTATGAACAGTGCTGAGAGTTTAGTCCCCACCTCCCGGACCTGGTGCAGCAGAATTTGTACTTTGCCAACTACAAATTCCCCTGAACTATACCACCATGCATCAATAAACCTCATTGACTGATTAATTGATTGATTGATTATCCTTACTTGTATGACTCAACAACTTCATGAATTATATAAAGCTTTGATTTCTCAGGCTGAGGTTACCATAGACATAATTATGAATTATTTGGTTTGAACTGCCCCCAATCCTCAGAAATATACCTGGGCAAGGCCCTGAGAGTTGTTCCTTGTGTTTTCACCCTTCTGATGATTTCTAACCTTTATTAAACATTCACAATTAGCTTGCTATTACTATTTTATTATTTTATTTATTGATAAGGAAATTGAGGCCCAGAATATTTACACCATTTGGCCATGGTCAAGCAATTATGTACTTCTCTCAAGGTATAGCAGGTGGTAGAGCTCAGTTATGAGTTCATGAGGTTGTTAGAGCTTATATCTAGATGTCCCTTCAAAGCTTCATGGGCTCAAACGATGTCCCCTCAAAGCTTCATGGGCTCAAACATGGGGCTTCACAGAGTTGGCTGGATTAAGGGTTTGTGATAACTAAATTAGTCCACTGATTGACTTAGCATAATTCTGCATGTAGATGTTAGGGAAGCCTACACTGGATGTGAATGCCACCTACCAACAGGCTTGTAGTCTGAATGGAATAAAAAGGAAAAGGAGGTCTGATGTTTGCTGCTTTCTTCCTGACCTACATGGACTCTTTCCTCTATGATGCCCCGCTGCCATGCTGCCCTACCTTGATGCCAGCTGATTATGGATTGAAACCTTTACAAACTATGAGCGAAAGTAAATCTCTCCTCCTTTAACTTGTGGATGTCAGGTATTTTGTGCTAACAACAAAAAGGTAACTAAGACAGGACAAAAGTTCCAATAATGTACAGCGTGTCTTATAATCTCTTTCTAAGCGCTGGCCTCTTCAATGGGCCCACAGAGAACCTGGAGAGATAGTCAGTGCGCAGACCCTAACCTGGTCTATTGGGATGGAGCCTGGACTCTGTGTTTTTAGCAAGCTCAGGTGATACTGCAGTTGTAGTCCAGTACTACACTGAGGGACTTAGGTCACAGTCTGACAACATGGGAGTGGCTATTCTCCAGTCTCAGCAGCAGTTAGAACTGGCCACTTTAAGGGATAGCAAGGCAGCTTAACTGATGCAACTTCATATACTTATTTATACACAGAGAGATTCACCCACACACTTCTGGGTCTTTCCATAGCTCCCAGTATAGGTAACATGTCCACAATGTCCCTGTACACCAAGGAGCCATTAGCTGCCAGTTGGCCAGCATCAGGAAGACTCCAAGTCTTGGGCCCACTCAGTCCTCTATATCCAGGCCTTTTCTCTCTGAAGTTGAAATATGACTTTTTCTGTGTTTCCCATAATTCAACTGTTTATTCAACGAGTGGACTTTGGCAACATGCTGGACTCTGGATCAGTGAGAAAAATACAGACCAGTGTTCAAATCTTGCCTTCTTTAAATTGGGTGTCCGTGAACAAGTTACTAAACCTCTTGGAGTAATAATACAACAACAATAACAACAAATTACTTAACCTCTTGGAGTAATAATACTTTACCAGAACAAAAGAAGTTCTGACCAATTATAATGGGAGGCATATTTATCACTTCAATTTTTCCAGTAGCCACATTTTAAAGTGGGGAGCTGGGGGAGTAGTTGTGGAAAAACTCATGATTGGCATGGATATTCCCTGGGTTCAACCTCCAGCCCCACAAAAAGAATTTGCAATTTAAATTTAAAATCACAAAAAGAGACAAGTGCATTTAATTCTAGTAATGTATTTTATTTAACCTAATATATCCAAAATACTATAATTTTAAATGCAACTAAAATAAAAATAAACACTAAGATGCTCTGCATTCCTTTTTACATAATATGGTTTTGAAATCTGGTGTTCAGTGGACAAGCAGAAATAGAGCACATAGTATAAAGTGCCTGACACAAAGTCATCCTCCTCTGTGTAGTAGATCTTATTGTGAAGAACCTACCACTGTGCCCAGTTTAAAGTATCCATGAATGCAGACAGCTACTGCTACTACTATGGAGAAGCCACTAACTCCAATTCACTGACTGCATGTTCATTCATTTAGACTTATGTTTGGAGTGCAGAAAATAAAAAGAAGATTATTTTCCAACAATCCACTTCAGTAAGCTTCATGGGACAAGGGGAGGAATGGAAGCAGGTCAGAAGGTACATAGCTCTTGGCGTTCACCAAGGCTCAGAAATTCTAAGCACAAAAGTTTCCTTTAATGATGGAATTAGTTATCTTTTATTTTGTAACTGCCTCTCACCATGAAGTAAGGGGTCCGGGTAAGGTCTCCCCCAGCTTCTATGAGGAACTTTCTAAGGAAGGGTCAGGCTGACAAGACTCAATGGATCAAATTCATGCCACTGAAAGCAGAACAGGTGAACAACACAGACCCCTGTGTGTGACAGTGAGAAGTAATATCATCACCTAGAAAAAAAAACTTTTTGCCTCCTCAAAATAAATGTTTATATATCCATATCCTGAATCTGTTCAAGTGTCTAATCAAAGAGCAGCAGTGCACCCTAACCATGGGGAGTAGTTCCAAGACCCCCACGGATACCTGAAACCCTATATAATAACCAGCCCTACAATTTAAAGCCTTTTGCATCTTCACTAAACACTAATTGCACACTGTGACCACAACCTTTGCAGTTTGGGGTACAGTCACAAAACTAACAGGAATTTCTTTTTTTTCTTCCTCTCAGTTTCATACATAGAAGATTCAGTCTTACCATAGATCTTAGGGAGCTCAGCATTCAATATTTTTTCTTTCCTTAAGTCAAGAACTTTTACTTTTTCACTTATAGGAAATACTTTGCATCTTCTCCAAGGCATAACCAAACTGCCAGTCATGACTCTTACAATTTGGGGCCATTAGTACAAAGAATAAGAATCAGTTGAACACAAACACCATGATTCCATCAACAGTTTATCTGATATCCTGGACACCTATGGTGCTAAGTGACAGATGGGCGGGTGGTATACACAGTGTGGATACACTGGGTGAGTCACATCTAGGGTATGACAGACCTGGATAGCACGAGACTTCATCATGCTATTCAGAATGGTGAATGACTTTAAACTTATGAACCGTTTATTCCTCCAATTTTTCACTTAGTAATTTCACACTACAGTTGACTACAGATAACTAAAACTGTGGAAACTAAAACCACAGAATGGGGAAATTATTGGACCAGTTTTGGGAAATACTAGTGGATAGAGAAAAGCATAAAATACAACTCCACTACATCTAGAACATGAAAAATGCTATAAGAAAACTCAAGTTCTTCAATTAATAAATGGCCAGGGGGAGTGGGGGCAATGTTTATAATGAGGAAGAGACATGTGTACAATAAATGAGACTTAAATTTAAAATAAGACAACCATAGAGAGGTGGTTTTGTTTTCGTTCTTTGAGAAATCAAAGGGAAATGAGCAGAGACTGGATAGTAGATATGAGAACAAGGTTGTTTTTACTAGGTATGAAAATGATACCTACTAAAGATACATACTAAGGTATGTGGTAAAATGTGTAGGATTTACTTTCAAATCTTCCAGGGCAGAGAGGGAGATTAAGCAAACACATAAGCTAACAAAAACAAGGAGAAAAAAACAAATGAGAAAAAAGCAGTCAAAGCACTGGTAGTTGATGAACCATAAGGGAGCATCAGCTTGAGAAAGCCCAGTTCCTGTCATCAGGTGGAAAGATTGTGGTTCACAGAGCAGACCATGGTAGACTACATGAAGCTGTCACCTGGGAACTTGTTATCAAGTACATCAGAGCCCTAGCCCAGGCCCACTAAACCAAAGTTTCTGAATATAGATCCTGGGAACCTGCATTTCAGTTATCTCTGTGTGACGCTGGTTTATGCTAAAGCATGAGAACAGGGACATTTGCCACAGCTATCACAGGGCCCAGACCCATGGGGCACACAAGACTAACCTCTTAGCCAGAGAGGTAAGTCTCACCTAGAGCAGTGGGAGCCAGACCCTCAGCCCTAAAAGAGTGAGTTCTCTGATGGAGAGTTGCAGTCTACCCTTTTAGGGCCAAACCCATTGGGGACCATAAACTGCAGCTCTCTGCTTTCTTAGTTGGCTCCTAATTCTGCGTAGGGAAGTCCATCCCAAAGCAGGTGTCCCAGCCCTGCATTCTGGACAACCCCAGAGATAGCAAGTGTAACTGTTAATTATTATGTCAACTTGACTAGATTAAGAAACTCCCAGAAGATTAGTAAAGCACGCTTGGAAATGTGTCTAGGTGAGTCATAGAGGCATGAGCTTGGGTACTAATGTGGCCCCTGCCCCTTCATCTCTGGCACTCTTCCCAGGCAAGCATCTTTGTTCTGGCATGCTCTTCCCACTGGTGTTTCTGCCATGGAGCCAGGAGACCATGAACTAGAACCTCTGAAACCATGAGCCAAATAAGCCTCTTCTCCTTGCAGTCATGAAAGTTTAATTGCAGCGAAAAGAAAGCTGACTAATACAATAAGGTGGGGGACTTACAGCCTCCTCTCTGTAGTCACGAGTATGGCAGACACACTGTCCTAATCCCCCATCCTCCCTCAGAGCACCTCTGCCTCCCTCCTGACAGCTCTGAACACTTCCAGGTTGTAACTAGGGTGACGGCTTTTTGAGTACTTTGCAAGTATGACCACAGGCATGAGGATGACCTGGCAACAGAAAGCCTGGAATGCATGGCAGCATTGACTGTTTGCCTGGCCTCCATCTCTCTAATCTCTCCCCTCCCTCCTGGCATCCCCTCCTTACCCGTCCTCGGGTCCTATTCTTCCGCTTGGGAATATCTTCTTCTAGATCCTCTTCTTCATTCCCTTCATCTACATTTTCATCATTTTCCAAAACTCTCTGGAAAGACAAGAAAGTCAATAGAAGAGTTAACCAATAAAATCCAAAGGAAAAAACATCAGATGGTAATGTTGGGAGTGTCCCACTTTGTCACTGGTGTTATTTTGTTTTGATTTTATTTTGCTTTGTTTCCTTTTGTTTTGTTTTATAGTATGGGGATTGAACCAAGGGCCTTTGGAACTGAGCTATACATCCAGGCCTTTTTTTTTTTTTTTTTTTTTTTTTTGTCTTTTTCCTTTTTATCGGTACCAGGGATCGAACTCACGACTGCCTGCGTGCAAGGCAGGTGCTTATGCCTCTGAGCTAAATCCCCAGCCCAATCCAGGCCTTTTTAAAAAAAAAAAATTTTAACTTTGAGACAGGGCCTTACTAAGTCAATAAATTGAATTTGCAATCTTCCCACCTCAGCCTCTCATTGAATACAGAGGATTACAGATCTGTACCACCAGTTCTGACAAAACTTACTTCTTTAACGTTATTAATTTTTGTGTGTCTAAAGGGCCACCTGAGAAATACAAAAGTATGTTTCTGCTTTCCCTACCTTTCTGGAACCCCATCCTGTTTGATGCAAGCAAGTAACTTCCTGTGCTTTTAACTAGAAGGTAATGTTAATGTGCTGTTCATAATTATCCATTGTTAGCCAGGCTATGGCAAATGCCTGAAATTCCAACATTCAGGAGGCTGAGGCAAGAGGATCACCCTGAGTTCAAGTCCTACCTGAACTACACAGCAAGACCCTGTCTCAAATGAAATGAAACGAAATGAAACAAAACTATCTGTTGTAAGTTTAAAAGAAAAATAAATTTTATTATAACCTATGGAGTTAAAAAATTACGAATTCAGGTGATCTCTCTGCAACAGGCCTCAGGGTCACATGGCAGGCTATAATCCCATTTCCACTTTACAGTTGAACAAACTGAGGCCAAAAACCATTTCAGCTCTTCAAGACCATACCAAGAAGCATGACGGAGCAAGGTCAGGTTCATGAGTTAAGCTTCCCATTCATTCCTCAGCCCTCGGGACTGCAGTCTAAGGTGCAGTATGGCATTCTGTTTATGCAGGGGCCTATGCACCCTACTTCCTTTAGAAGAGAGGACAGGAGGAGGAGCTGAGCTGTGCACCTCCAGGTTTAAGGTCGTGGCAGAGGACCCAGCTCCCCATGGTGGAAGTGAGCTATGAGGAAAGGGGCTTGAATCTCACTGGACTCCACATCAGAGACGCTGGGGGTTTCTTTATGGGCTCACTGTGTGATCTCAGACAAATCACCCTCTTTTCATGCCTCAAGTTCCCCAACTATAGAACAGGAATTCATACATTCAGTCTACAAACATTTAGCTAATGCTGACTACAAGGCAGGCCCTATGATGCAGGATGGCTACAATCCTGGTGCCAAACAGGTCTTACAGGTCTACACAAATAGACCTAGTGAAAAGAGGTCTACACAACGATGTAACCCCAACCGCTGTCAAACAATGACAGCCAAGTCCAAGTACCCCTGGGGAGGTGTTAGAAGGGAATTTTACCTAATCTGGGGGTCAGGAAAGGCTTACTTGAGGCTGTGACAAAGGGCAATCAGAGGTAACAAAATGACGAAGAGAAGTCTCAAGAACGAGGACAGACAGGAGAAAAGGAAGAGCAGACAGAGGGAACAAACTCCCTGAGGCAGAGGACCATGGTTTGCCTATTGAGCAAAACAGACAGGAGTGACCGGAAATCGGGAGCCTCAGGGAAAGACAGCTGAGATGACACTGGAAAGGTGGGCCAGTGCCACATCACAGGATGGAGCCACAATACTTGCAATGATGGTGTGTGCACCACAAGAACATTCAATGTCACCACCACTGTCCCAGGGACTGCCGAGACAGGACGCCACCTCTGGCCTGTCTTTAAGTGGGAAGCCCAGGAGGGAGCTGCCGGGGGTTCTCTACCCCTGCCTTCCTGCCAGCCACAGCAACCAGGATCAGCTGGTCACAAATCCTTCTGAAGAGCTCAAGGCAGCTCTAGTGAATTCTTCTCTGACTTCTCTACTTGTTTTATTGGGAAATCACCTCCCAGCTGCACGGATGGGTCTCCAGACCAGCCTCAGTCGTTTAAGAGACAAACAGTTTGTCTGCTCGATGCAACTCTAGCCCATAGCTAGGAATGTTGGCCCAGATCCAAAGCAAAGCTCTTGACTTCCTGACCTGCAGGTGGGATACTAGTAAAAGCCAGGCGAGACAATGATGGGTCACATGCAACGTGCCCTTCAGTGACAAAAACATAGGCTACACATAAGGTTTAGTTATTAGGACTATTGTTGCCAACTATATAGCTGTCTTACAGCTTTCTGGATCTTGGAGTCATCTAATCATGGTAAATTCCAAGGGTCTGGAATGTAAAGGTCATTGTTTCTGGCGTCTCAATACAATTCAGGCTCCCCTGTCACTTTTTATGAAAAGGTTATTTATAGCCCTGATGTGGAATCTGGGTTGGAAGGTAAAAGGCGGGCAAAGGCAGCTGAGCTGGTCCCCAGCATGCCACATGGCTTCAGTGTCCAGGAGTGACCGGACTTCTCTCTCCTCAAGGCTTTGTCCTTCCTCTTCCCATCAGCTCCCCTGGGACTCTAGAACCTCCAGTCCACGCCCTGGCCTTAGATGTGCTGGCAGCTGCATTTCCTGCAATGTGGCCCTGACCCCAGAAGTTTCTTTATACAACTTGTCACTTGGGAGGAGCCAGAAGGTCCTAACAAACAAAACTCATTCCATGGCTCAGGAAGCAGAGGGGGAGTCCTGGGTTAGGAGTGAAGGACGGGGTGGTCCAACATAGACTCAGCTATTGCCCTGTGACATACCAGCAGGCCTTGCCCAAGGACGTAATCTGGAAAATAAACACTGTTTAAAATAACTTTTCTCTCTGTTACTCTAAACAGTCTTTACAGTGATGGTAACAGGGTGTTTGTGGTTACATGAGGAAGAAGAGCAGGAAGAAAAAGAAGAAAAATTCCTTTTTAAAGAATTTATTATTTCTTTCCAGGACTGCCTCAAAAATCCAATGTCTCTGCCTCCCCTCCATCTACTCTCCTCTCCATGCAGAGTCAGAGGGATTTTTTTGGTGGGGGGAGGGGATACCGGGGATAGAACTCATGACCACACACTTGCAAGACAGGCATCCCCAGCCCATCAGAGGGATCTTGGTGAAACATAAATTCACTATCCTAACCTTGATCATCCAATTGGCTTCCTTTTTCATTTTATATGAAACCAAAAGGTACTTCTTTGCCCCATGAGGTCTGGGAGGTCCAACTCCTACCACCTGGCCACTTCTACCTGGGCTGTTCACTCCCTACACCGTGCTCTGGCCACACTGGCCTTCAGTCTGTCCTCTCCACATGGCAAGCTCTGAACTGTCTTAGCGGCTTTTTGCATGCTGTCCCTCTTCCCAGAAGGCTCTTCCCTAGGATTTTCTCTGTGCTGGCTCTTCTCAGCTGGCTCCTCAGGCCGAACCCCTTATCTCGCTTAGGAGACTTCCTAGAACCTGTCCCCCTCTTGTACTGAATCCTCATGCTGCTTGTTCTTTTCATGGCATTTAGCTGCTTGGCTTTTCTCCAAAAATGCAATGATTTTGTTTACTTATGTTCTGTTTGTATGAGAAGAGGGGACAGATCTCTCTTGGTCCCTCTGAGTCCTCAGCACCCAATGCACGGCCTGCTCAGAGGAATTCCCCCTTAAACTTGGTCAAATGAGTAAACAAAAATGAAAGAAAATGTATTGCTCATGTACTACATATTTAATAATATACAGCTAATAAAAACACATAAACTCATTTGACTTGTGGTCCTGTTTCAGCTTCAGGCACAGTAAGGAGCTCCATGCTCTGCACATGGGAGCCCTTTGGCCTCAGTCAGGGCTGATGATGACAGTGACACGGTGATGACGACCCGCATGCTGGCTGAGCCCCCTCTGTCTCTACATGTTGGCAGATACCAAGGCCCCTGGGCAATGTTTTTGTATCATTTGTTGCTTATGTCAAAATACAGTAACTAAGCAAAACATACTCTCAAGTATTACGATGATGCAAACTCTGTCTATCTCACCTTCAACATCTGAAGGTCCAAACATGTGGGGAAAGGTAAAAGTAACATATGGCCTCAAAATGCAGAGAGACAGAGAGAGGGGGAGAGAGAGACAGACAGAGAGAGAGAGAGAGAGAGAGAGAGAGAGAGAGAGAGGCAGTATGTCCTGCAAAAAGAGACCCCTTTGGCTAAGGGGGTACTATGAAAGGCTCCGTGAGGAAGCTGCTAATGAGGCTGAGCCCGCAAGCTGAGTGGAATTTGTGCATGTGAAGACAGAAGAAAAGCCAGCACATAAAGGGCTCAGCACGACCAATGCACATGAAGAGCTGAGGGCAAAAAGGAGTCATAGGAAAACCTGCCGAGGGGCCTGAACAGAGGCTGAGGAGCAGAGACAGGAGGCCCAGGAAGGTCCTGTCCACCATTCTGGTTTATTTAGTGGGAAGTAAAAGGTTTTTAGCAAGGAAGGGACACAAGCAGAGCTGTGCTTCAGGACAAAAATATAGCTAGCAAAGTAGGGCATGTGAGAGAGGAACAGACTGGGGCCAGGCCAGCTCATCAGAACCTGGTCACTCGTGTATGCTCTTAAGATATATTTCCTGTCCACCTACTAAGTGTCACACACTGTTTGAGTCCTTGAGACCCAACAGTGAGCAAACAGATAAAAGCTACTAACCTTGGGGAGTTTGCATCCAATTGGAAGAAGACAGACACTAAATAATAACATAACAAGTGAAAATACTTCAAAGTACAATAGATGGTGATGAAAGAAAGAAAGAGAAGAAATGAGAAGTGCCAGGGTGAGGCAGGCACAGGATGTCGTGTTAGATGTCACGGTCAGGCTACAACTCTTAGAGAAAGGGAGGTGAGAGCAAAGAGCTTAAGCAGGAGAGGGCAGAGCCTTACAGGTAGCTGAGGAAGGACATTCCAGAAAGAGATGAAGGCCAGAGCAAAAGCCCAAAGGCAGGGAAATGCCTCATGGGTGCTGGAGCAGCAAACAGAGGTCGGAGACAGCTGTGTGCCTGGAACAGAATGAGTGAGGGGCAGAGGAAGATGCCCCATCAGAGAGAGGTTCGAGGGTCTTACTGTCAATCTAGACAACAGTGACCACTGCAGGGTTTTGAATACAAGGATGACAGGAGCCAATCTTTTAAAAGCTCCTTCTGCAGCAGCCCAAGCAGACAATGGAATATCATTTTACACTAAAAAGAAATGCACTATCAAGCCATGTAATAACATGGAGGAGTTTTCCATGCATATTGCTAAATGAAAGGAACCAATCTGAATAGGCTGTGAGATCCTACCTGGATGACACTTGGAAAAGGTAAAACCATGCAGTCCGGGAAAGATCAATCACTGTAGATATCAGGAGGGTGGGAGGGATGTATAGCAGAGTACAGAAGATGTTCAGGGCAGTGAAACTATTTTGTATGATCCCATAATGGTGGCAACATGTCATTATACATTTCACCTGACTCACACTGTCCAGCACCAAGAGTGAACTATAATGTGAGCCCCACACTTGGGGACACTGATATGTGAATGCAGGTTCACTGATTATAACAAACGTGATTGGAGATGTTGATAACGGGAACAATGCATGTATGGGAGCATAAGACATATGGGAACTTCTGTAGCCACCTCTCCATTTTGCTATGAATCTAAAATTTTTATTTTAAAGAGAATAATTTCTTTAAAGACTCCTTCTGAGGCAGGAGCAGGGAGACCTTTGAGAAAGTACCCGTAGCACTCAGGGAAGAGATGACGGTGGCTTAGATCACCAGTCAACATGGGGAAAAGGGGTTGTGCTCTGGATTTATACAGAAGGCGACAGGATTCCTGGTGCATGGGATGTTAGGTATGAGAGGGAGACAGCAGTCAGAAATGACTGCAAGGTCTTCTGGATAAATAAAGCTTAGAGTTAATGAAGATCTCTACTAGGACTATAACTTATGGAAAGTAGAGGAGGCGAAAAAATAAGTCAGGTGGTGGTAACTAAATGGAAAACACTTGCCCATTCATCTTAACACAGGAATGGCAGAGGAGGATGCCAGCTTCATTGATTCATTCAAGGTCTGTATTGAGCGCCATCTCTGTGCTGATTTGGAGCAAAAGGCTGAGAATACAATGCTGAACATACAGCCCACTCCCTGACTTTAAGGAACTTGGAGGAACTTGGTGGCCCTCAGAAGGCAAACCAAAAATGTAGTCTTGTTTTTTAATATAATCATTATTTTAATAAATCAATGAATTAATTGTTAAATGGAATATAAAACTAATATACTATATATATATAACAAACTATAAAATTTAGGGTGTAATATAAATTTAGCATGAATATAATTCAATTCTGTTATTACTACTACTTTATTATAGCATTAAGTGACATTACTGTAATATTCTATGCCCATCATTGTATTTGATAATAGGAATTCAAGTTAAATGAGAAGAAATGAGAGGAGCACACCACAATAATACTGTGTCCTGGAGCTTAAGCGGTGGCATGAACAGAAAGTAGTGGGCACACAGGGGCAAAAGCCACCATCCCTGCCTGGGAAAGACTAGATTGGCCTTGAGGATGAACAAGTCATGTGGGGAAAGCCTGAGGGGTGCGGTGAGCTGAGCAGAGGCTGGGGCGTAAGGAAGGGAAAAGGCAGGGACTCACTTGGTGAAGCAGTGAGCCTGCAGGATGCCACAGGCACCAGGACTTAGCTCATTTTGTTCCCCATCACTTCCCCAGAACCCAGCACACAGTACCTAGCTCTCAGCAGGCTCAGTAAACATATTTTGAATGGAGAAATAGGGAAATCCAGGAGGAAAATAGATTTAGGAGTACAATGACTTCTGCATTAAATTGAAAAAGAACTTCCTGTTACTGGTGCTAGGAGGCTAGTTGGGACACAGCTCTGTTCTTTAGGGTGACAGCCAGAACTGGAGGGCTGCTCTACAGTGTCCCCAACAGACATGGCGCTACCTGGATCTCCTGGATGCTCTCTTCCTCTCTGGTGTCCACTTTCTTCTCCACTCCCTCACCACGCAGCAAGGCTTCCAGTGTGGTGCTTTCCGAGGTGAACCCGTCCTTCTTCAGGGGCAGCTCCACTTCTGAAAACAACACAGAAAGGCCTGTCAGGCCACTAGAAAAAACATGGACAGGAAGAATGGTTCTTGCGTACATGCATGGACCAGAGCTCCTGGGCAGGACTTCCAAAATAGGAGTATTGGAGTGGGAGAAAGCTTTCCATCTTCATTTTATAACCCCATGGATAAATCCCAACCTAGAGAAAACTGAGGCAAAACAGGAAGTGTGCCAGTGGGATGCAGGATCAGACCACCCGATCCTTTGGCCACGTGACTTTGGACAAGGTTTTCAAGGAGCCTGAAGCTTCTCCACATACAAAGAGGAATAACAGGGCCCCATGCCAAAGTTGTTTTGTGGGGAAGAAAAGTGATCATTTACATGAAGTTTGGAAGACTCTCAAGCAGTATACCAACATCGACCTCCATTGTTATCTCCTTCCTCTGTCTCAGCTCTTATCTGACAACTTCATGATCTCCCCTTGGCCATGCTGGCTGCCCAGCTCTGCTCAGACGCAAAGAGGCTGTTCTTATCAACTCATAGGTATAGTGGAGCTTTTAAAAGCCCAAGAAAAGAAGAAGCAAAGGAAAATGTGCAAGAGGCCCCAGAGCAGCAGAGTGAATGCTGCAGTATCCCCACACCAGGAAAACAAGGAAGCTGGAGGTGCAGGGCATTTTTCCTGAAGGCACTGGAGTTTGATCAGCTACCCGAAACTTTAAGTTACTAGGGCCCATAACTCTGATGGTGAATGACCCCAAAGGCTTATATATTAGAAGCTTGGGCACAGTGTAGCCCTATTGGGAGGTGGTAGAAACTTCAGGAGATAAGGCTGAGGAGGAGATTTGTAGGTCACTAGGGAAGGGCCTTTGAAAGGGATTGTGCAATCTCCATCTCTTCTACTCCCTCCCTGTTGCTTCCTAGCCATGAGATAAGCAGTGTGCTCTTCCTCGCACTCTGTGCCATTGCCATTCAGCATCCTTAACAGAACCCAAAACAATGGGCTTACTTGGTCACTCTCTCTACCGGCTAATTTCCTGCTGTGCTCCCTCCCACTGGCCAGTCTCAACCGGAGGTCAGAGGGCCAGGAGGCCAGTAGATGCAGCCGGCCAAAGTCAACTTCCCAGGGCACAGAGCAGTATGAAGGCCAACAAATGGAAATAAAAAGCAAACGGAACCAACCCTGCTCCATCAGGCTTTATTCTGCCTCCACCAGAACTCTACCTACCATTTCCATCTCCTTTACCTGAGACAGTACAGGTTCACTGTAAGGATCTTGGATATCCCACTAAAACTGGAGAAATGCATCCCAAAAAGAAGGTGAGAAGAAGAAGAAACAGTATCTAAATTCTCTTGATAGACAAGTCTTTGGGATTTTTCTTATCAAAAAAGAACAGAGGAACCACTTCCATGAAGCAGCACTATCACCAACTCTGCCACCGCTCCAACATACCCACCCACCACAGATTCGTACTGATGTGTACTGAGCACCCACCATGTGACAACTCTGTGCTCTGAGACAAGGGACTAAGAAGTGACCAAATCAAAACAGACCCTGCCTTTGGGCAGCATGTACTCTAAGGAGATATATAAAAGGCAAAATTCAAAATAAAGACACAATTACAAAGTGTCTTATATGGTACGGAGGAAAACAGAGTGAATGTGGAAAAAATAAAGGGATGCTACTTTAGACCAAGGAGTCAGGGAAGGCCTGTGTGATAAAGTTTCATTTACGTTGACTGTCAGAAACATTGTCAACTGCTTTAATGAGTGTGGAGCGTGCAGCTGCACAGCTTGCTCTGATGACATGTTACTCTCTCTCCCAAGTCAAAAAGTCTCCTAAACGTCTAATTTCAAACAATTAAAGCATGTTTCCTCATGTCCTGTCCTCAGTCAAAAGAGAACAGCTGGTCACAATCCTTCAAACTTCTAATAATCATATATATTTTTTAAGTTCATATTTTAATATCCCTCTTAGCTTTCCCAACACAATTCTGTTGCCAGAACTGCACAATATTTTAGAGCTGGAAAAAAAAATATTTTAGAACTGGAAAGGGACTTATGGATCACTGAATTCAATCATCTCATTTTGTAATTGAGTCACTCTAGGCTCAGAGGACTTAAGTAACTTCACCAAAAGCCACACAGCAGGACAAAAAATGCAGACAAATGATCTTTCAAGGTGCTGTGGAGATCATGAAAAGAGCCTCCATTCATTGTAATCTCACTAGTCATTGACAATCCAAGGTTGAACCCAACTCTTCTTTGGTACATTCGTATACATGCAGAGGACTTGACACATGGGACACACATATACATGCAGAGGCTCTGCAATTCCTAAAACAGAATAGCTGTTATTGCTATGTGTCACTTAATCCTCCACCATACCAAGACCACCTATTGACAGGTAAGAACAGTGCAGTTCAAGGAGATTTAGAATTTGCCTGCTATCACCCATTTGGGAAGGAGCAAAGTCCAGTCACCGTCCAGAACTCAACCGTCTAAGGACTGTAAGGCTGTCGGGACTTCTTAGGCCTCTCTTTGGTCCTCCCTTAAAAAGTCTTCCTCCAGACCTTCTGTGTGTTTTTGTTGCATTCCTAGACTCTTCCCATAGCTTGCACATTTCAGGATAAAAGGCAGCTTTCTGCTGAACGGAGGACCCCACGCAGCCTGAGCAACCTCCTGTGGTGCTCAGCCTCCCACGATGCTATGAAACCCATACAGAACTTTCCATCATCTATGAACTTTCTCCTCCTCCTCCTCCTCCCCCCCTTCTTCTTCCTCTTCCTCCTCCTCCAGCTTTATTTAACCCCTGCTAAATATGCCTCCCTCCCACTTTCCCAAAATTCAATCCACTCTCTTGAATATCTTTAGCCAGACTACCAGGTAGACACAGTGAGAGAATCAAGAGTGAAAACAGAATCAAATTAGAAAACTACAAAAGGTTGACCTCCAGGCAAAGAGCTTAAACAGCTCTCCAATGGCTCTCTCTGGAGTGGACTCTCCAGAGTCCAATCCCTGCACCAGGGAGGCAAATACAGAAAGAGCCTTTCTCAGGATCACCTAGTGGCCTCATTCTCTCCTAATCACCAGTATTTAATTTGGCTCATATAATTTCTGCTTTCAGATACCCCTGGAGTCATCCCTAGCCTTGCCATTTATTAGTAGTGGACCACAGGCTGGTTACTTAACCTAAATCTCTAACACTTCATGTGTTAAATGGAGATGATCATAGTATCTGTTTCTATGGTGTTCCAGTGAGAATTAAACAAGGTAATGTTCTGCATTAAGAATCTCCGAAAGGACCCATCAAAACAACTTGTGTGAGACTTTATCAATTTCTATTTGTTTTGTTTTGTTATATTCTTTTCAAAACTTGTATTCCAAATTAGATCATATATACAAAGAGCCTAGCATATTGCAAGTACACTACAAATGCAGAATCAGGTTTGAATCATTTGGATTTTAGTGATACAACTACCCTGTCCAATAAAATTGTAATGCATGCCATTGACATCACTTTAAACTTTCTAATAGCCACATCTTAACAAGTAAAGAGAGGCAGATGCAGTCCATTTTAATAATATACTTTCTTTAACCCAAAATTTCCAAAGCATTGCCATTTAACATGAAATAACTGTTTAAAATTTGATGCCATATTTTGCACTCTTTTACTCACATTAAGACTTCACTGTCTGGTGTGTATTTTACTACACAGCACATCTCAACTCACAGTGCCAAATTTTAAACATTCCATAGCCACATATGCCCAGTGTCTGTCGTACTAGACAGTGTGTATTTATAGCATTAAAAGAAATGTTTACTATGATTTTGCTTTCCAAAAATGGAAAGAATTTAAATATGGTTCTAAACATTGCCTACTTAATACCTGGCTGAGCGCTGCTCCCTAAGCAACATTCTAGATGAGCACTGGTGAAACATGGTAGAAAAACACTATGGGTAAAACTTCAAAGATCAGAATGAAAGGGTAGCCACCCCTCCCTACCACCCACCAGAGGGTGCATTCTCTGCCTCCAACTACAGAAGGTCCCAGAGTGAAGAGAGAAAAGAGATAACGCTCCAAGCTCTTGCACAATATACAACCTAGACCGGCTCCTCTTGAACCCTTGGGGATTTCATTGATTCAATTTTATTCTAATATGGTGCATCTGGATATAGATCTTAATAGGATTTAGTAATTCCTTAAAAGTATACTCATTTTGCACCTTACACAAATTTGAAGACCACACATTCTGACAGGAGTCATCAAACATCTAACATTAAAAGAAAATGGTCCAACACACACACACATAATTCATCTTTAAATTAGCCTGATTTTATACACATGGATATAAACCCACGGATCGTTACACTCTCTCCAAAGCAGCAGCAGCTGTCACCCAAGCCAGCCGCCTCCCTGGGCCCCCGTAAGCAGCTCTGCCTCCACTTCTAATTGGGAACAGAGATACTCCTTGGGTGACTTCCAAGCACGATCCATCACACTAGAGACAGCTTCTGTGCAAACCGAAGCAAATCGGTTTCCAAATAAGAAAAAACCTCTTAGACAAACAAGGATTGAAGCATAGAAAGTCTTAAAAAAAAAAAAAAAAGGAAAGAAAGAAAAGGCACAAATACAAGCAAAGAAAAAAAAAAAAAAAGACAGTGAGGAGCAATGGCTTCTCCCCAGGATTCAGACAGGACAGTCCTCCTCTCTGCTGCAGATCAAAGCCACAAGCTTCTGACACAGGTGGCCCAAGCCTGCCACCCAATGCACCGAAAGAAAAGCTTCCACTGGGCTGTTGGAGCCACCGAGCTCATTAACAGGATGCTGGCGAGATGAGTCTGAAAGTGCAACATGGGAGCACAGTGAGTAATTAAATCCCAGGTCATTTAAAATTGCAAACGTCATGGATGTCACAGGCTCACCGAGCCTCTGACTCCTTCTCCCTCGTTATTAGGATCCAGAGAGAGCACTGGGAACCTGGAGCTGTATATGGATTATAATAAAACATGCCATATAAAAAAACAG